GGAATAGATAGGAACAAATGAAATGATTTTCTTTTGGAGCTTCCACTCACTGTCAATGAAATGTGCAGTTATGCACATGTAGTTTATTCTCTGGACTGAGGTCCATGTATCAGTTGTGATACTAACCCTCTGACTACTAGTCCTAAAGAACTTCTTCAAGTTGAGCCTCTCATCAGAAAAAATCTTTAAAATGTCCCTACTGATAGTCCATCTTGAAGGGATTTTAAACCTAGGACAGCAAACAAACACAAACTTTCTAAACCCCTGTCCCTCAACTATCCTAAAAGGCAATTCATCCAGAATAATCATCTCAGCTAAGGCTCTCCTTATCAAGTCTTGGTCAAATACCCAAGTACCTAACACCCCTTCTGATCCTTCACTACTTTCAGTTCCAGCAGAAGAAGGTTCACGTTGGAAAGTAAGCAAGGACTACCTTGTATCCTTAGAGTGAGGATTTTTAAAGTAGTTTACCACATGAAGTCTGAGAGAAGAAGTTCCATGTTTCTTGGACTCACAACAATACACCCTAGCACAGTATAAACATTTTCCCTTGACAACAATGCCCTCATAGTCTTTGATCTTTTCAAAGTGATCCCATATAGGAGATCTGGTCTCAACCACTTTCCTTTTCTTAGGAACACGTGGAGGCAAATGCTGCTGAGACTGAGATGTATTTGTCTCTACAGTTGTGGCTTCCACCTCAGGTTGACTTCCAGATAAACCACTAGTACTTTCCATCTAAAAAAAGGAAAGTATCAGTGAATGGGAAATCACTCAGGGAAAATCATCAACAACTATGGACAGAGGTATCAAGCATGCACATTACCACATATATTCATATAATTACTTTCTGTTAATTTCACATGTCATCATGTATGCAGAATTGCACATAAACGATTTAAGGGTCACATATCCATAAACTTAATACAATTTACAATTTACAAAGAAATCCATATTCGGGCATTCAAGCTAAGTAGATGTATGCCACTTCATAATGCTCATCATCTATATGGATTTCACACGCAGGGGCTAGGACTTCCACCAGATTAGGGACAATTAACCCTTTAAGCCTTTAACTCCTTTAAGGGACAACACAGTTACACAGATTTACACTTATAAATTATAAATGTATAATGCTCATCAATCATCATTTATATGGAATATGAATTTCCAGGGGCAAAGGGACACATGGGCTAGAGCTTCCACCAACAGATCACAAATTAGAGACAAGTGAGTGAAGTGACATGCAATCTGGAACTTCTCAACAGATCACATTACCACAGTCCACACAAATCAGTGAATCACAATCACATAAACCCTAATCAAACTATCAAAGTATCACAAATTAGAGACAAGTGACATGCAATCTGGAACTTCTCAACAGATCACATTATCACAGTCCACACAAATCAGTGAATCACAATCACATAAACCCTAATCAAACTATCAAAGTATCACAAATTAGAGACAAGTGACATGCAATCTGGAACTTCTCAACAGATCACATTATCACAGTCCACACAAATCAGCGAATCACAATCACATAAACCCTAATCAAACTATCAAAGTATCACAAATTAGAGACAAGTGACATGCAATCTGGAACTTCTCAACAGATCACATTATCACAGTCCACACAAATCACAATCTATAAGAGTATAAGAATATAATATAAGTATCTAACAATCTAAAAGACTAGGGTTTATAGAATAGAGATTACTTCGTTTCTCTAAATTAAACCCCCAAGAACAAAGGGCTTCGATTCCTAGCCAGCGAACTGCAATCCACCGGAGTATCACTTCCACGGGAGACTCGCTTCGACTCAGACTCTCAGAGGTCAGGGGCTACTGGAAAGGAATGGGGCTTGAGGGCTTCCACTGGAGAATAATAGCTTCCACAGTCCACACAGTCACACTCTCAGAGATTGAGAGAAGCTGAGATTCTGAGAACTGAGAAGGGCTGAGAGAGAAGTCAGAGAACGAGAGACTTTGAGAGAACTAGGGTAGAGAGAAGAGAGAAGTCAGAGAGTTCTCTGGAAGAAGGGAAGAGCTGCGCAAATGAGACTAGAGTTTGCGAGTTCTCCGCTCCTTCTTCTATATATACTCATCCTACACGACGTCGCATTACTTAGGTTATACAAAACCTTAGTCTAAATCGGGTAGTTAGACGGGTTCGGGTGGAAAATATACCCCCCTCCCCGAACTCATTAAACCGGTGTCGTTCTACGTCGCGGTTCGGATTTGGCTTTTCGGGTTCAATTTTCGAACCATTCTTGTAACACCCCAAAATTTTTAAACTTTTAAGACTTATTTAATAAAGTTGAATTCTCATTAAATCTCAAAATCAAACATAAGAGTGCGGGGTGCTATGCCACATCTGAGCTGGAGAACTCAGATGCACAGACTAACTAACTAAAATCCTCAATACAAATGTCAATGCATAATCATGGCACGGAGGCTGAAAGGAAACTAACTAATCTATGCTTCAGATCTCTAGCGCGCTTCGGGTCTACTCATCGGTGCCTGAAAGCCAAATATATCTGTTCAGCGAATGATGCTGGTAACCCACTCCAACGCGTTGATATATATATATATATATATATATATATATATATATATATATATATATATATATATATATATATATATATATATATATATATACGAAAACCATTTTGAAGCAGGGAGATATATACTTAAGAGACTCTAGCTTTAAAACCAAGAATAGACTCAGCAATTAGGGGCAAGCATAATAATCAACGATAACAGTTAAGTAGAGACAACCATCGTAAAGAATATGCATCTAAGGTCACATATTACTTTCAAATCAATCATATCATCATCCAATCATCATTCGTATCACACAATCACACTTTGGTGGTGCCATGGGACCAATTGCATGCCCCGAACATGAGGGTTAATGCATATAGTACTAACACAGCCCCGCAGCACCCTACCTCATACCGCAGCATGAAGGGAGTTGATCGCAACCAACCCTATAGACCGCTGACGAACTCAGCGGCGGATCACAGTCCTACACACCGCTGACGCGCTCAGTCGGTGGACTGTGATCCTCTTTACAAGGGGGGGCTACGATCCTACACACCGTTGACGGGCACAGTCGGTGGATCGTAGCGGATCAAGCCCTACACACCGCTGAGGGACTCAGTCGGTGGGCGATGATCCTCGGAGACTACGACCCTACACACCGCTGGCCCATCACTCGGTGGATCGCAGCCAGCCGTAGCCCTACACACCGCCTGATTGCTCATTCGGTGGACTACAGCCTTCCTCGGGCTTATTGGCCCTACACATCGCCTGGCGCGTCCAGGTCGGTGGGTCATAGCACACGAGGCCCACGTGGACTGCAGCCCAAGAAGTGAATCACTGACCGCAGCGAGGAGAATGAACCGCAGCTCATAAGTAACCGAACAGTGGACCCCAGCCCTATATAATATTTATATACCTGACCGATCGCAACCGGCCTGGTTAACAGTTGGGATGGTTCTCAACCCATTCAAATGCCCGTATAGCCAATTTGATTGCAACCAAATTGGGGAATCATGCATCACATAGCACATAATAGCACATTGGGAAGGGGGAGGCACATAAATAAGCTTAAGTGTGATCATTCACATACTAAGAATAGTCCTAAGGGGTTCATACGACTTCCACCTAGGTCAACGGGTTACCGATTCAATTAGCATGCAATTCCTAAGACTCTTTTATCCTACGAACGGTACCCGAAACATCAAACTATACTCAAGTACGACAAACGGGGTCCGTTGAGACACCACGGGGAATGGGGAACATCAAACGGGGAAGCCAAAGACCCGGGGTGGGTGAAAAACCAGCGGGTAGCCGGTGGGTGGAGGGCCACCCGCCGACGGCAACTTCCGGGCAGCGGGTGCCCGGCAGGCAAACGGCTGCCCGCTGCCTGGCGGTCTCACTTTGGGCAGCGGGTACCCCTACCCCCCATTGACTCTTTTATCAAATACTCGTCCCGGGATCCTTTGTGGAACCCGAAACCATGCTTAGACACTTTTAAACGCAATTAACGACACCACATAGGCATTTAATGGATCGAAAGCAAGAATTATATTGAACATTCCTAACATGACTTCTAGACACGAACAACACCCGAACATGCAAATTCCCACCCAAATATAAATCAAGAACATCACAATACCAATTCCCAATCCAACCTAGGGCTCTAATCCCACCCAAATCATCAAAATCATATTTTATCTTCTTCATCAAGAATTATCAAGGTTTATCAAGAAATCATCACATAAATATCAAGAACTTCTTTTTAACATCAAGATCACTCATAAAATCACCACATCAACCAATCAAGATTATCACAAATATCATAAATAAATTCATCAAGACACAAGTATATAGGGGGAGCCAAAGAAGGAGATTATAGCAAGGAAAATAGATTTTGTTGAGACATGAGTTATCTCTTAGCCTTAATTAATTTCCTTGGCTATGAAGGGTTTTTCTTTAAGATTTCTTCTTTCTTGATTTCTCCTACGGGAATTCTTGAGAATTCTTGTGTGGTGAAAGTTATTGTGGTGTGAGTTCTAGGTGCCTCCTATGTCCCTATTTATATATCTAGGAGTCCCAATTAGGGTCTATGTGGTATGAATTTGCTAATTCTATTTCCTATAGGACTAAGGGATTGGCTTTAGGGACAAGGGCCCATGGACTATGGTGGACCTTTCCTAATTAATTAATGAAATTTAATTCTTTCTTTTGGGTAAATGATTAAATAATTAATTTGTTTTAAAGGCCGTAACACGGGATGTTACAATTCTCGTGTGTCGGGTTCGGGTCGATCGGGTTGGACGGTTATGCCTATCTAACTATCTTTATCTAATCAACCGCCCCCACCCCTCCCCGCACCAAATCAGTAAATCCCCCCCCCCCCCCCTCCCGGGCGCGTAATTTGATTTGCAGTTTCTTTTTTTTCAATTTGACAAGACTAAATCAAAAACGGAAAAACCTTCCCCCCTTACTCTCGTAGGGTTTTGCATTCTCAAACACACTCTCTCTCACGCGCGCTCGACAATGACGAAGCTTAGGAAGTTGAATCGCCCAACGGGCCATCGACTTTCCATGCTCAGGTTCTTCCATTCACCATTATCTCTTCTCATTTCTGGTCAATTTGTGTGCGTGTGTGTGTTTTTTAACTGTTGGGATTTTTTCTTCCAGGACGATGGTTTCGCAGTTGGTGAAGCATGAGCGTATAGAGACCACAGTCGCTAAAGTAATCTTTTGCTTAATCTTTTCACTTTTTTTAATGTCGTTAAATTGGCGTACTTGCGATTGGTTTTTTATCATCATTGTTAGATCGTTTTGAAATAATTTGAAGCGATTGACCTCTTAATTGAGTAATTATCTAAGCTTATTATTGTGATCAGTTAGTAATTTATTACCGAGTATTACTTAGGCTTAGTTAAGCACATCAAAATGTGTGAACATAGGCAAATTTTCGGTTTTCTTGTTCTTTCTGGATGTTATCGCAACGGGTTGCTGGCATCTTGTGGAAGCTTTGTAATTATAATTGTTTCTTTCTTGTGCCCTTTTGTAGGCCAAGGAAGTTCGTAGGCTTGCTGATAATATGGTGCAGCTTGGGAAAGAGGTACGGCACTATGCATTGTCTAGTGATTGATTCCTTGATGGTTTTAAGTGCAGTCTTTGGGGGCTCCTTCCAATCTATATTCACTTGTTATGGTGCTTAATCTTATTGTATTTGAATGGCTTCAGATATAGGAAGATGTAATTGAAGGTGAGGAAATGCACTAGTTATTAAGAACATGTGCTATAGAGTAGTTCCTTAGAGAGGCATACATTTGTTTTATTTTTGTTTTTGTTTTTTAAATAGAGTTTCCATGATGGTCATTCTTCTACTTCTCTAGTTATGGGCAAAAGATCATGTTCTTGATGGGATTTTTTTTTTCCTTCTTTTTGGTTCTTTCTTTGTCTTTAAGTTCTTGCAAAACTTACAGAGTTTCAGCCATCTTGGTTTATAGGTGACTCGATTTTTGTTTAAGTAATTTTTGAGCAATATGGCACCAATTCCATTGAGTGGGGGCTAATACTCCTGTCAATATTCTTTAGCTCAACTTCACCCTCTTTGATCGATGTCACCTAAGCATCTCAGATACCATCTGAAATACAAGATTTTTTAATTCTTATTAGAACTATTTGCTTTATTATGACATGAAACTGTAAAAGTGATACATGTTAGAAGTTGAAATAGATGTTGCAATTTCACACTTGTCTTTCCTCTCGTATTAACATGATAAACTCCTAATTAACATGTTAGAAGTTCAATTAAGAGCTAATTTCACTTTTGGACCTAGATTATAGTGCCAATTCTAAATTTAGCTGTGAATTATAAAATTGGACAGTGTTGGTTTCTCTACTATTGAGAAATTGACAATATTCCTGGCGCAACATAGGGAAGTCATACTTCTAATTTTTCTTAAGCTAGTTGGATAATAATTGAACAGCCGAAAGACTTCAACTTAAGATAAAGCTTGATATTTCCACTTCCCTCTCAATTGATTACATTCCAATTGACTCTGTTTGCTTGGTCCAGAAATAGTTTGTTTTATTCATTAAGCTAAAAGCTTTAAGCATCATTTCAAATTCGTTTTTATCCAAGAATACTCCATAGCAAGTGGGACTTTTTAAAATATTTTTCTTGGACATTCTGTGAAAATTGACAAAACTACTGTCATCTTTAGTGCCAATTTTCCATGTGTCAAATTTCCATCCAAATTCACCTAGAACTTAACAGTTCAACAACTATTGCCATTTCTCAATAGTTGAGTGACCAACACTATCCAATTGTAAAGTCAAGAACTAAATCTACAATTATCATAGTGGCATAGAATTAGTTATTTCAATTGATATAGAAGGACTATTGTCATTTGTCATGTTGCATTATAATGTATGATATTGTTAGCCGTTTGGTGTTTTGTGCAATATATTTCTTTATATGATGTAAACATTTCTTGGTTCCTAGTCCTGTTCTTTTCCGATGCTTTTTGCAAATTAGGGTTATTTTGTTGGAGGGATTAAGGAGCTATCAAGAGGGTTGGGGCCAGTATTACTCTTAGTCCTTTGATAATAGATGATCCCAGGTAGTTTGTTATTATAATTCTTGGATTACCATCCTAGGCTCCTAGTAAATTCATTTGAACCATTGGTAAAGGCCTAATCTCTAGGAACAGTATACAAACAAACAATGAATTACTGGTCATGGGAAAATCCAAAAGTATTACTGTAATTCTAACAACTAAACTCTGACCCATAATCTTATCTAGGGGTGGCTGCATTGATCCCTTTGTGGTTGTTTGGCTGTAATCCAAGCATCCAACCACTGTGGAGGATTACAGATTGGTGGTAAAATAGTGCTGGGATTACCGTAAGTCATGGATTATAATTTATTTGTGTGATTGCTGTCATGCTTGGCTTAATGGATGAAGGTGATGATGTCCTAGGGTTGGTTAACAGTCCTGTATTTGGTAACGCATAAGTACTCGCTGGATTTGGCATTTTTTCTTTAATCAGGTTTGGGCTATACCAGTGTTCCCTCTAGGACCATTCTGATCCAGGTTGATTTGGATTTACTAGGCCAAAATAATCAAAATGAAGAAGGGATTAAGGGGAGTGCCAGCACCTTCCAGTAGCTTCCCTAATCCCCTTTAGTCTGTCCCTCCAACCAAACAACACCTCAAGGACTCAAGGTGTAGGTATTTGTATCTGTATGAATCTGAAACCATCTCAAAATTTTGCAGGGAACTCTATGTGCTGCAAGGCGTGCTGCTGGCTTTGTGCGTGGGGATGATGTTCTTCACAAACTATTTACAGAACTGGCCTATAGATACAAGTGAATATGGAATCTTTTAAATTGTATTCATTTTCATTTTATTTTTGCTTGGGTTTGTTCTTTGTGGTTGCATAACATCTTGATGTTTCAACTTGCAGAGAGAGAGCTGGTGGATACACTAGGTTGTTAAGAACAAGAATACGTGTTGGTGATGCTGCACCTATGGCCTATATTGAGTGAGATATTTACCTTATTTGCATTTAGCTCAAGAACCAGTTGGCTTTTGTTTGAATTTAAAATGTAAAGAAAATATATTGCAAAAGTTGCCTTGGAAAAGACTATACTGTAAATAATTTGGCATTCCTATTAATCCGTACCATACTGTGAGGACATAAATTTTGGGGTCTTGCTTTCATCTTGTAATTTATCTGACAAATTTCCATTTTCCCTTGGCAGGTTCATTGATAGGGAAAATGAACTTAGACAATCAAAACCACCCACTCCACAGCTACCACAAAGACCAGCCATGGATCCCTGGACAAAGTCTCGGCTCAGTAGGCAGTTTGCACCCCCTAAAGAGGAGAAAAGCACCGACTCTGAGAATTGAAATAAGATACATACCCATTGAATTTAATGGAGATTTTGTCCAATCTGCTATTTGTTATCTTTAATGAGCCTCTACATAACAGCGGGATATAAGGGATAGAATAAACGCCAAATGATGAAATATCCCGGCTTTACAGCATTTATCTTTGTTTATAGCAGCTGTGTTTGAGCTTTTTAAGAGGTGAGTTTTGGTGTGAATTTCTCTGGGAAGCCTAGCCTAGCCGCCTGTGTAGTGATGCCATTTAGAAGGTAACTTTTCTGACACAGCTAAGCTGTTAATGAATGATTGAAGTAAACTTTGCAATGACATAAGATTCCCATTTCCCTTTGGCTTATGTTTTCCTTTCCCTTCCTTCTAATAAAAAAAAAAAATGAAAATTTTAGAGAAATTCCATGGATAAAGAGGCATGATGGTGGTGGTTCCAGACTGTTTGACTACTGCTAGGGCCCAAAAAACTCAAAGTTTGATGGCTAAATAAATTCCATGGTTGTTTTGTTTGTTTTATAGTTAAGAGGATAATATATGCACAGAATATGGTTATGTAGAACTCACGATATGGAGACTTTCGTAGCGATGGGTGCAAGGCTTCAACACACTATCCATTTTTGTAGCATGCAGTTGCCAAGTGACAAGTAGATTGCTTATGTAGGTTCAATCTTAAGCTCTAATGGCCTTATCTCATCATTTTTTTATCATTAAAAAAAAGTAGATTATAATTTCAATCTTATCTCTTTCCATGTCTCCAATTGTAATACCATGGACCCCGACATTGTTATTAGGGATGACAACAGGGTAGGGTAGGGAGTGGGGTTTCTGTCCCTGCCCTCTTTCTCGGTAGGAATGAGGAATTACATATCATTTCGCTCTCTGCGGGGATTTTTTGGGGGCTGAAAATTCTCGCCCTGTTTCTTGAATGAATTTTTTAGTAAAGTATTTGTCTTGATTTTAGTGCTCGCTACAAGAAAATAAGATAAATTAGCTACAATTAATTTTCATTCATTGCATTCAAAACTCCACGTATTTCAAAATTAGTATCATTTAATCACAAATCATGAATTGTAGATTTGTAGGGGCAAGATCATGTCATCAACATTAGAAATGAAGCTGACGAGTAGGCTACTTTTTCCTACTCTTGAATCTCCGATCAACAAGATCTTAAACGACAGATGAAACTCTCGGCTAATGCTCCGTCAAGTCGACGACGACCCCATTCTCTCTCTCTCTCTCTCTCTCTCTCTCTCTCTCTCTCTCTCTCTCTCTCTCTCTCTCTCTCTCTCTCCATCAACAACTAAAATTATGCAACAGTAACATCACTTTCTACTTAGAAGATAAAAAGAGAGCAGAAGCAGAGATGGAAAAGAGGAAGAACTTATAGCACCATTCATAATTCGTCTTGTATAGCTATATACGCACATATAAAAAATAGAGAGAGGAATATATAATTTCATATACACACAGACACTATGTATGTACTGTATGTATACGGTTAAAGAGATAAAAGAATAGTGATGTCTATTTCCTTCACTTTATATCTCTAAAACTGATACTGTAAAAAAGGATTTGCATATGCGATTCCACTCTTGCAGACAACGCAACGGACAACTCGATTTGTGTCGAAGGCGAGGATGGGGGACGGGGAGTGCTTGTAGAGGTGGCTGTGGGCTGCGGCGGTGGAGGAGAGGCAATTATGAGAATTTACATTAGGGTTTGGGTAGATAGAGTTTGAGGGTTTTTTGAGGGGTTAGGAAAGAGAAAGGGAGAAGGAAGGTGCCATGACTAGGGATGAGAAGAGTGACGTTGAAAGATAGGTTGTAGGAAAAAAGAAGAAGAAAAAAAAAAGAGTAAATATCCAAAATGGTCCCTCGACTATAGCTAAATTCACAAATTGGTCCTCAACTTTCAATTTCACCCAATTAAGTCCTTAACTTTGTAATTTTAACACAATTTGATCATCTGTCTATTTGACCGTTTGTTGACTATGATTTTTGAGGATATATATGTAATTTCATGGTCCATCGTCGGTTTTTTAAGGTTCCGGTTGCATTTCCAGACCGCGTTACATTTGAATCCACTGTCGAAAGCAATCTACCAAACCCAGTCACCTTCTTCATCCTCCCTTTGGATTCAATGTAGTTGAATTCGTACCAGAGCGAAGAAGATGACGTGTTTCCGAACCGGTGCAACGTCATCCTGGAGGCCTCCACGTGCTCCGACGAGAGCTGAAGGTTCTTCTGGAGATCGTCGATCATGGTCAACAAACGGTCAATTAGATGGAGGACCAAATCGTGTTAAAATTGCAAAGTTAAGGACTTAATTGGGTGAAATTGAAAGTTGAGGACCAATTTGTGAATTTAGCTATAGTCGAGGGACCATTTTGGGTATTTACTTTAAAAAAAAAAAAAGCCAAACTCAGCCTCCAAGGCTAACATTATCTCTGCAAATCTCTCTCACTTTAAAAAATGGGTCTCATTTCCACATCATCCCATTTGTAAATCATTTATTATTCACACTACATCCCTACAAATCTAATCAACTTTCAAAAGTAGACCCAATATATATTAAAATAACATTATTAATTATATTAAAATATTAAAAAGTAACAAAATAAAATAAAAATACAAAAGTTGTTTCTGTTGCAACTGCGGCAGCTTTTGTCAGGATTTGCAAATTTGCAAAACACGCAAATTTGCAAACCCATTTCATACAAAAAAATAAAATAAAATGATGTGACATTAGCCACATCAGCTTGCAAATGGACACATTTGCAGAAGTAATTCCAATCTTAGCAAGTAACCAAAAAGGAGAGGAAGAATGGAGGATACCAACTACTAAGTGAAATTGCACACGTTTAACTTGTTGCATAATGTAATAGAGCCAGTGATACTCCAAAAAAAAACTTGTTGGAGCGTATAATTTTATATATATATATATATATATATATATATATATATATATATATATATATATATATATATATATATATATATATATATATATATATATTGTTTAGTGGTGGTATTTTCAATTTGACCCTATTCCATAATTAAATAAGATTATGTTTGCAAAGATATCCTTAACCTACTTGGTTGTTGGTAGAGAAAAAAAGGAGTCCACCTAACTTTAATCCAAGAAGTTAGTGAGCCGAAGCAGAAGTGGGTTGTTGAGGGAGAGGGGTTGTACACTTGTAGTCTTTGCGCAGCTGAAGCCCGACTACACCCTTTCATCAATCGATTTCGAGTCGAGGTAGTTTCAAAAGGGAGAATTCATAGGCGCTGGATCGGATCCTCTGTCGCAAATTCTTTCCTTCCACCTGTCACTTTCTCTCAAGGTAAATGCGTGCTCTTGTTCTTGTTCTTTGTTTTACGCGTTTCTTTAACTTCCTTATCTCAGCCCGTTCGCGATCTGGATGGTTCATAATCTCTACCATTAACAAAGCTGCAGAATTCAATTATCATTAGACAATCATCATGTCCGATATAATGCAACATTAATAAATGTAATAGAATAAGTACTAAGGATTATTACTTCTCTGTATGCATATGAAGCAGAGGCCTAATCTCTAAAACACTATTCAACTGTACTGTAGCCTGTAGGAAATAAATTAAACATGGACTTTAGTACTTCAATTCTCTTTAGTTAATGAATAAGAAAACAGAAACATTTTCCATCAATGAACAATTAAAAGTAAGTCTCAGTGAAGCAAGCCTGAGAGGTATTAGAATGCATTTGTTTGTTTGAAAGAATATTATGGCCTCAGGACAATGGCCTTGTTTGGTAAATGGCTGTTAGTTGTTAGCTGATTGGGTTAATTAGAATTTAGAAGGTATAACTAGTTGATAACATTAGCTGATTGTAGAAATGTGATTGGTAAATTAGCTGATAGCTGTTTGGTATAATTTTTTTACTCAAAAAGCTAATTGAAAAAGTTGTTTTGAGTAGTTTTTTGAATTTTAGCATTTTGGAGCATAAAAAGCTAATTAACCAAACACTTATATTGATTTTTAAACCAAGTAAAACAACTAATAGTGGTCAAATAAGCCAAAATTGACCTGTATGCTAACTATTTTACCAAACAGGGCCAATACTTGAGAGAATGTTTAACAACCTGCAAGAGGATTTAGGCAGTTGGTAATTGAAAACTCAGATTGGGAGGGGAAAATTCAAAGAAAATTTATTCTATGAATTCATTAGGAACTTATGACAGAAAGTAGTGCTCATATGATATATGTGCACTTACAGACAGCATCATAGAACATAAGAAAGATCCAACTGCAACGTCTCGGCCACGTGTGTTAATCTTATTGCTATATGCTGGGTTTTTTTGGGGTGTTAATTTCTGGTTCTTTTTTATGTTCATGATATTTTGGTAACCCTTTTGTGCTTTAGTATTTTATCAATCTTGAGCTTTCAAGAACTTTTGGGATGGTGTGTTGGAGAATTGAGTTGATGCTATAATTGTCTGACGTTGCCTGATATTCATGAATTGGTCAATGCCTCATTATTGTGTCATCCTTCACTTACACATCCAAACATAAAATAATACTCTGTTTTCTGCCTAGATATTCACACAGAATTGTTTGTTTTGTTTCTGATCTGTTAGTTTAAATGGAAGTATTAATTTGTGGGTTTCTTTATTTTGGTATCTTATTTATTTATTTTTCTTTTCGGTTATTCATTATTGAGTGTGTTGGGTTATTAGTGGAACCTATACTTATTGGGATCTATAAATTAATTTATTTATAAGTATTTATCTTATTACTTGTATTAAATTCCAACAAAATGATAAGTCTCGAGGGATTTGTGTGCAATGAATGAGGTGTTTAATCGGATTTCTGTATTTGCAGAGATAGTGTAGTGACGAATTAAGGTTATTGATCAATTGAGAGGAGTTGGAGAAGCAGGATTTATGGAGGCAAAAATTGCAACGAGTTTGCAACTCTCCCCATGGATTAGTTCAGAAAATAGACTGCCAAAGTCCAATGGCTCGCTGAGGTTTTCCAAGTGTCAGACCAAACATCAGAGAAGTCAGATGTTAATTTCCTGTCACTTTCAACCTATAAAAGCCAAGAGTTGGCACAAACAATGTTTGCTGACGGCTTCATGTTCTTCTCAGGATTCTCAAGGTAGTTCTCTCTGTACTATGATATGACATTTAGTCTCCCAATTGTATACTCAGTATTTCTTATAAAGTAATTACTTCATCACAGCACCGAGATCATTTCTACAATGTTAACGGATTCTCTGTTGCTAGATTCACAAAAGCTAATTAGCTTCAATTTAATAAGGAAAAGTGTAGGATTGCCTTCACTTTTAAGAGTTCCCTAGTAGCCCTGTTATTATTATCCTCATTGTATTAATGATTGCCTTCACTTTTAAGAGTTCTCTAGTAGCCCTGTTATTATTATCCTCATTGTATTAATGAAATAAACCAAAGTCTTTTATGGGTTTTCTATTATGCTACCAGTTTCAAAGAATGAACAGGAGTTCAGGAAAACTAACATCATACTTGCATGATCTCATTTGATGTTTTTATTTTTTTAATGCATTCTAATTTTTCTTTGCAGCTTCTATTATGGAATCTGAAAACTCTCTACCATCCCTTGATGAAGTTCAAGTTTTGAAGGTACTAGGTAACCATTTTCTTGTTAGTATGTTGTTGTGTCTCAGACAAAAATACGGTAATCCATTTTGATTGCTATAGATGTTTATAGCAGTTTAAGGGCATCAACATTACAAGTTTTAAACAGCTTTACACATCATCTTACCGAGTTATTTCTGTTGCAGAGTAAGTCAGAAGAGATTGAACCGTACCTAAGCGGGCGATGCATATATCTTGTTGGTGAGCTTTGTTACCAGTATTTTCTATAAATAGCTCTTAAGGTCTAAATTTCATTCAACTGTCTAATATGCATATTAAATGTCAGGAATGATGGGCTCTGGCAAAACAACCGTTGGCAGAATTATTGCAGAGGCACTTGGCTATGCATTTTTTGACTGGTTAATCTCTATAGTCTTTTTTAATCCTAGGTTACTGATGATATTTATTGTGAGTTATGTAAATCAGTGATAATAGGAAAATACGAACTTTGGGTACACATGCTTTTGTGTTTAAAGTTTAAACAAACCACAACTATCCTCACTATGTTGTTATGTAATGAATATGAATTATTTTACCTTGTGAATACTTCAGTGATACACTTATAGAGCAAGCTGTTGGTGGAACACGTGTTGCTGAAATCTTTAAGCTACACGGCGAGGGCTTCTTTAGAGACAATGAGGTAAGTAACTTAGTAACAGCAGAAATCTTTTCTCCTTGCATCTTCTTCATCATCTACTTGTGCATTTTAGACAGAGGTCTTGCGCAAGCTTTCTTTGATGCGTGAGGTTGTTGTTTCCACTGGTGGGGGTGCGGTTGTTCGGCCCATTAACTGGTACGAACATTTAAGCATCAAATACAGAGTCTTGCTTTTAGTATTTATATAATCAAATTCTTTGTCTGCCATGCCATTAGCGGGTGATGTTTTCTGGAATTCACGCAGGAGATATATGCACAAGGGCGTTAGTGTCTGGTTAGATGTACCTGTGGATGCCTTAGCTAGGAGAATTTCAGTAGTTGGAACTCATTCCCGGCCCCTATTACATAATGAATCTGGGGACATTTATGCCAAGGTTTATACCTTGACCCTAAAATTGCACATCTGGAAATGGCTCTAAATTTCTAATTTGATTGTGAATGTTGAGAAAGACAGTAGAAATACTAATACATGCTTTGTTGGGATACTTTTTTTCTTTTTACTCATATAGACTCTCAAACGTTTGTCTACACTTCTGGATGAAAGGGAGGATGCATATGCCAATGCCAAAGCTAGGGTTTGCCTAGAAAGTATGAAATCATTTTAGTTCCAATCATACTTCTGTTGTGTTTTTTTGTATTTTTTTTAAAATGTTCCAAAATGTCTTGAGAATAACGGTGTAAAGCTTTTTCAGATATTGCTGCAAAAAGCGGTTGCATTGATGTTTGCACTATCACTCCTACGGAGATTGCCATTGAGGTCCTTCTCCTAGTCTCTCTCTTTTATTTCTATGTATATCCAATCTTCTCTTGCAATTTTCTGCATTTATCAGCACACATGTGAATGTGATTTCTAGCACTTTTACACTCTAAATCGATACATAGACGACGGCAATAAGTATTTGCACAGCTAACTTGGTCCCACTCATGTCCAGGCACTTGTACAAATTGGAAACTTTTTGAAGAAAGAAAGTAGAGAAGTGCATTGAGCTCCATCATATACATGCATTTTGGTCAATGCTCTTCAATCTGATGACATGACTTCCAATCTGCTTCTGTTTTGTTTTTTTTTTTTTTTTTTGTTTTTTTGTTTTTTTTTTGTTCTTCTTTTTCCTGCCCAACGACAACATGTAATATACCCGGGGTGGTAGTTCAAGTGGCAAATGAGCTCTCTTTGTGGGGGAGAATTTCGGGTTCAATTCTCACAAGCGATGATTCCCCATGGGCCAGCTCCATGGCTCTCGGAGCAAACGGGGATTAATCGGGTGGACCTGGACCGATAGAGAAAGACCCGGACCACCTCGTGGTTTACACCAAAAAAAAAAAAAAAAAAAGACATGTAATAGGAATAGTTGTTTGCAAAGACTTCAAATATATGCTTGCATTATTTTGTCTGTTGTGTCCTTGATCAAATGTTGTAGATTTGTCTTAACATTTTGCTCATTAAGTTATGAGTGCCATACTGTCATGATGTTTGTTGAGTATAAGTTTTGTGAGCCTTGTGACAATGGCAGAATTCTACACAACATTACCAAATAAATTGCATTCTCTAGCAAGTCCACTAGCATCAGAGTTTTGCTGTCCAAATTGAAGAATAACGCTTTGTGGCGTTCCCACCTGATTTTATAGACTAACTATGATTGTTTTGTTTGGCACACAAAAGTTTGAAAAATTAAAAGTTAATAAGTTAAGTAAATGAAATTAAAGTGTTTGGTAAAATTGAGGTTTTTTTTTTTTTTTTGCATTGTTGGCGGAGAGAGATAGAGACTTGGAGAAGAGAGAAGAGAAGAAAGAGAAAAATAAATAAATTTTTAAGAGACATAGTTTTTTGTAGGTCTTACAAAAAAAAAAAAAAAAAAAAAAAAAAAAAAAAACTCGTGACTTGTAAGCGTAATAATTATTTTACTTTTTTGTTCTTTTCTTTTCTCCATCCTACTTGGCCTAAGATGTGTTCATAACTACTTTCTCAATCTAGTAAAGCACAAAGAGTTAATATCGTCCCTATTGGATATTGAACCTATGACTTCTCATTTGGGAGAGCCACTTTGTGCTACTAGACCACCAGGTCATTGGCAACTACTCAGTACTCACACATATTTAGCACAAGTGAAAAACACAAATAGAAGGACATAAACATAGCATAAGAGAAATGGAATGAAAGATAAACTTATCTATTGAAGAGTAGATGAAGAACTCAGATTTGGTTTTAAATTCTTGATTACAACCTTCAAAAGTGAAGTAATGTGTAACCTAGTGCTAATCTAAGCTAAAGTAATTATAGGAATTGAAGGGAAATAAGTTAAGTCTACCTAGGGTTCGAACTCTCGAAATAAAGTCAGAAATACAAATTAAAACCGTGAAACAAGGACAGACATAGGGAAGCAACACGAGCGTGTCGATGCGCGTGTACAATAGTTGTCTTACGGGCTTGTCGATGCCCGTGCCTAGTAACAGGCTTGATAACGGGCGTGAGCGCACCTGTGAGCTCGTCAGAATGTTGGCTCTAGTCCCAATTTTGGCTTCTTTAGTGCATTCTTATCCCGAGCTGCTCCAATGCGTCCTATGCTCCCTCCAGAGAGTTCATAAACTCACTCGTGGGATTGCTCTTTAAGCTTTTTTTTTTTTTTTTTTTTTTTTTTTTTTTTTTTTATGTGGGGCCTACAAAGTAAAGGAAATAAAAAATAAAAAGAGAGACAAGGTTGGTGCATGTTGGTGCACACCAACAAGGCAACAATGTCGCGTTGGGTACGTCTTATACAATTTGTAGTCGCGTTTCGATAACGCGCCCACTAAACGCTTGAGAGTAGGTGCCAATTGGCGATTTTATGGCTAATCTAAATCTTATTAATCAAAAGTATTTGATGCAACCGCCTATTGACTTTAAAAAAAAAAATTGAATTATAATTTTAAAATATAAATAAAGAAATAATTATTAAGAAAAAAACTTTAAAAACTCAAATTATTGAGAAAAAGAGTTTTAAAATTGAGTAAAATTAAGATGGAATGTTGGGACCTACAAAATATTAAGTCTAACTATTGAGATACTCTCAAAGACTCGAATATCGAGTAATGTTTTAATTAGTAACTTTTTCACCTTATTATTGGATTTGATACTGATTACCATGTTAACTATTTTTGTTCTTTAATAATTAATAACATATTACCATTCTCATTCCCTACTTCTTGAACAAAGAAAATGAGAAAGAAAAAATAAAAAATAAAGAAACTCTATTTCGATTCTAAATTGAACCAAACCCCCCCAGTCCGAGAACCACTTGGGTTACTTATGCATGTATACGTGGGCACTTCATTTCTTCCTTGCAAAGATGTACAACAATATCTCAAGAAACAAAAGAGAAAATTTACAACACTACAACCACAAGGCACCCTCTAGATAGGGCACTTAATAAATATTTTTAAAATAATACTCCTAAAAATTTTTATTATACTTCTAATTGTATCAAATCAATGCTGCTGTATAACTTTGAATATCAAACAAAATGAAAGGTATCTTCCCTCATCCCAGAACCACCAGTGGGACATGAATCAAATTTATAATATACAAAAAAAAAAAAAAAAAAAAAAAAAAAAAAAAAAAAAAAAAAAAAGTGTATAGGTTTCAGCAGGCAAGAGAAAGATGTGTATGGTTGTATCTACCCCGCAAATGAATAAGCTATAAGCTCCTAAATAAAGCCTATGTCACAATGAATAAATTAATCGAAGCTTGAAGAACGGCTGTATCTGCCCCGCAAATAATCCTCTACAGATATGTGTTGATCAGAGCTAGAACTGGAAAGGGAATCGCTGTCCAAATTTTGTAATGCAACATTAAGAAAGGATTGGATGTTTGGTGGAGCGTCTTGTTGTTCACTCTCAACATCCACTTCTCCCTCTGAGCCATTGCCTCGCTGCCTCGCCAGATTTATGGCTTCTTCTTCACCTTGGAGGAGCTTCACAACCTATATATATATATTTTTTTAATTTGCAGAATGATTATGCATGCATGTATATATAGGAGTTGCAGCTTAAAACCAAACCAAACACCTGGACTTGACTTACTATGTTGATTGGAGGGCGTAGTTTAGATGCTCGTTTGATGCAAAGGGTGGCAGCTAATACCATTCTCTCAAACTCGTCGTGGTCATATGTGTCAATCAAGCTTAAATCGAGCAAATCTGTAGGTTTCCCATTCTCCAGTATTTGCTTTGCCTACAAGTGATGAGTAGATATGTTATGTTATGTTATTCACAGCAAATGATTACTGAAATATTAAGTTCAGGAAGAGAAGAGAAGAGAAGACTTACCCACATGACCAAACTCTCCTGGCCCTTGGCATTTGTGTTGTCGATTGGCTTTCTACCAGACAAAAGCTCAAGAAGTACCACACCATACGCATACACATCAATTTTTTCATTAATTTTCCCATGCATGAAATATTCTGGAGCCAAGTAACTGCAAATATTGCAACTTTAATTTAGATCAAATGGACTCTTAAAAGATTTAGAGCTGAAGAGAGTAGTGCTGCCTTACCCAAATGTGCCCGCAATGTCAGTACCATCTAAATCACGTGAAGAAAATGAGGCCAATGTTGCAAGCCCAAAATCGGACAGCTGAAAGACTAAAATATATATGAGTATTTTGCTATGTGATTTATTCTAACTTTTTTTCAAAGTAAAATGCAGCACCTTTGGTTCAAAATCATCTGAGAGAAGAATATTTGAAGATTTTACATCCCGGTGAATGATCGATCCCGTGGTTAAATTGTGTAGATGGTCTAAAGCCTGAGCGACCCCCAAAGCAACCTTGTATCTATCATGCCAACCAAATGAACTTCTAATATTTTGAGCACCTGCTTCCAAACATAGTTATTCAGTATTGTAAACCAGTAGGAATGTAATTACGCAACCAAGAATTTTCGAGTTATAAATACCGTGGAGATTATCTTCAAGGCTTCCTCTTGATAACAGATCATAAACCAATAGAATGTTATTGTCTTCGATACAAAACCCAAGAAGTGAAATAATGTGTTTGTGATGCAAAGTCGTAATGGTCTCTATTTCTGACAAAAACTGCTTCATTACAACTTCTGATGGCTTAAAAATTTTCACTGCCAACTCCTTCCCATCTGGAAGACACCCTTTGTACACCTTACTGCTGCCACCTTTTCCAATTAAATTTTCTGAAAATGTAATTGAGGGGTAACCAATTAGAACCTGAAAGCGTATTGCAATAAGTAAAAAGTCAATAAGGATACAAACCAGGAATGAAACTAGAAGTTGCTGTCAAGAGTTCCCGGTAGCCAAACAGCCTGCAAGTAGATGAATATTTCTTGGAAAGGCACTCTAGTTCCTTAGGAATTTGAAAAGAGGTGCTTTCAGTTGGAGCAGCTACAACATCCAAATTAGAAGACTGGCACTCTTCCTTGTCAGATATGTTCTGTTTCTGATCAAGGTCGATAGGTTTGAAAGACTCTTGATTTTGTAGTTCTTGAACTGCTTGCAACATAGACAGTGTTTTTGCGGAACGTTTTCCAGATTTTATGTTCTGAAGAAGCACTCTTCTAAGCAATGCGGATCCCGAATTTGATTCAGGCACATCCATAGTCTTAACAGGTACCAAGGCCAGTGAAGTACCCACGTTGCCACTACTTGACAATGGCAACTGCATACAAGAATCCTCCACTGAACCTGCCTTTGGTGATAAACTCAAAGGGCTTTTTGTCAAGGTCTTATTATTCACTCTCAATTCAAGCACATCATAGATGTGTGATCCTTGGCCAGTCGATTCCTTGTGAAAGACAATCTTACCATTATTTACAGCCATTACCGAGATGCTCTTCTCAACCTTCCTGGCACAGTACTTTGCAACTGAAACCGATGATCGGATAGTGTGGTGGGTGCTTGAAGTACCAACAATCAAATTTGGTGCATTGTAAATGTTAGCCTCACTGGCCAGAACCTTACGAGCGGGTGACCCTCTACAAACCTTGAACCTAAGATCAACCTATAAAATCCATCAAACATGAGAGCAGTATCAAATGCAAATATCCACAAAAGAGGATGACAGAGTAGTGATCATATACCCTCTTTCCCTACTCTCGACAGAAATAACAATTATACTACAGATCATTTCCTTCATTTCATCATTAGGATATATATTATATATTGCAGATTCCCATATTACATACACTACGCCATTTCCGGTAAATAGAAAGCAGACAATGATCCTAATCATGAAAGCGGTACTGAAACTTAGCATCTTATCCATTTTTTTTAGAATTCAAACAATAAAAATGTTGAAAATAAACAGAAAAGAAGACGAAGTAACCGCTTCAGCAAAATCACCTGTTTTAAGTTGCAGAAGCCTTCATAGGCGGTCACCATTGAATCAAAGGTCTTCACCAGCGATAGCATCTCCGATTTATCTTCTCCAAAATAAAAGAGCAAAATTAGGAAGAAAAAAAAAAAACCACACACAGAGAAAACGCGAAATATAGAGTGAAATTCAGAGAGTAAATTACGAAATCAAATCACCGTAGTGAAATAGTTCTATACGTTTTCGCATAGAAAGTTAATAATATACGTTTTCGCATACCGCTGTTTGGATTGAGGACGTGAAGAGCAATGACCACATCTCCAGGCTGAGCAATTTTAACCAGAGCCCAAGTCAACAGTTCCTTACTCGGCGTATCCAGTTTCACTCCCACCACCGCCACCACTCTCCCTCTTCCTCCTCCGCACACGGCGTCTCCGCCGCAGTCACCACTGGTACTCTCAACACTGCCGCCGACGGCGGCACTACAGTTTCCAGAAAGCCTCATATTGGATCCAAAACGGCGTCTCCGTCGTCCTCTGCTTCGCTGTAACACTTTCTCCTTGTAACCTTTCTTCGTCTCTCTCTCTGAAATGGCGGTTTTTGGATTACTCGGTGCAGAAGTGAAGAGTAGATTCTGCGGTATGGTATGTTGTGGCCTGCACCAACATTTGACGATTGACCCTATACATCTCCTCTCCTCGACGATATTAACGGTTATATAGGCAGCAGTGATACGATGTGTGCCGGCCTACGCTGCTACTCTGCGCACCTCTGGCTTTGCTGTGCTGTAATAATCTCCCAATTTTGGAGATTGGAGATTGGAAATACAATGGCGGGTCCCGCAAATATTGGGAAATGAATGCTTTCTATCTTCTCTCTTTGACTACGTTTCTGTTTCTCCCGCATAATACATAATTTAATTGAAAAATGCTATATGTACTCTCATTTTGTACTTTCACACACAAAATTTTGTTATAGACACTAATATTGAGACCCACATGAAAAAATAATTTATCAAAATTCGTTACATCAGTAAAATTTATAAAGTACATGTAGTAGAACTCAATTTAATTATACCACCTCCCATGTATTTTTATCACTAATATATATAAAAAAATAAAAAATAAAAACTAAAATCAAGTACAATATATATTTACAATATCTAAAAACATAATAAGTTTCGATCCAGGTAATACTCATGATTTATATCTACTTTTTTTTGTTAACTTTTTTTATACAGTATGCTATAAGAGTTGTACTATACAATTTGTTGGACAAAAATATCTCTACCGTTATAACTTATATTATCTTTCCTATTATTATTACCATGTACATTTGTATACACAATATTTTTTTATATATATTCTTCAATGGTAAGAATGTGTGTAGACATTTTATATATATATATATATTGGTAGGGGTAGACATTATATATTACAGTAATATAAGAAATAAGTTTGATTTCATTTAACTTTTAATTAAACATTAAGATAATTATATTTAGTAATTTATCATATCTAAAATTCTTACTTTAATAATATTAATCATATCATAATTATTTTCCTTTCAATGACATGATGAGCTAAAGACCTTGTAGTTAAGTGGCATGAAGTATTTTTTTCAAGTGGAAGGTCATGGGTTCAAGCTTCCAACTATATGTAACGGGTCAATAGTACTCAAAAAAAAAATGACATGATGACTTTATCAACTATAAATTTTTTTTTAAAAAAAGTATATACTCTTATTTTTAAAAAATCATATAATTAAGATTTTAAAATCGAATATTAATATTAATATTGTGTATATAAAGCGCATTGTTCATATGAAATATTAGTTATTATATACAAAATTATAAAAGTTTGTGTGAATTGAGTAGCTCTTAATTATATGAGACACCTTTAAATTTGTATTATATTCAGACTAATATCTATTTGCACTGGATCGACCCAATTAAAAAGTAAATTGCCTTAATTAGATATAATAATTGTATTGTCGCTATATGGTTTTTTTAAAGGGATGTTGATATATGATTTATTTTGTCATAAATGAAATTTCTGAATTATTTAATAATAGGGTTGAATTGTGGAATAAAGCAAATTGGTCAACCCAGGGAATAGTTCCAAAACAAATAAATATATTCAAAAAAGGAAGGCAATAATATAAGATGCTACATTTGACGTATGAGTTGAAAAAAGTAATACAAGATCTATTGGACCACCCAATATTCATTATCCAATTCTGCAAATTTCCAACCCAAAAATAAAAGCGGTTGTTTCAAATTTATATCGTGGATCAGGGTTCACAATGCACTATGAACCTTGATTTAATACACAAAATTTAAGTTTATAAAGTACAGAATTCATGTTTATAATACATATACATATAAACACAATATAATGAACATGAATTTTGTGCATTATGAACATAAATTTTGTGGAGGAAATTTCAGTTTTGGTCATATGACTATAGGGGTCTTGTTAATTTCAGCCCCTGACTTTCAAAAGTGTCAATTTAGTACCTTAACTATGCAATTTTTGTCAATTTTGATCACTCCGGCCAAATTCCGCCGAAAAATTTTAATAGTTAAAATAATGAGAGTATTTTGGTCATTTCAAGCCTATTTACTTCTTCTCCGACGAGTCCATCCCTTTCTCTCCCGTTTCTGGCGTTCTTTCTCCCTGTAAACCCTATCTTTAATATCATCAAGCCTCCTTTCCGCATCATCTTAGTTCATTGCATTCACTAGAAATGGGAGAAGAAGGGATAGACTCGCCTGGGAAGAAGAAAAGAGACGTGAAATGACCAGAATACCCATATTATTTTAACAATTAAAATTTTACAGCAAGATTTGGCCGCAAATTGACCGGAGTGATCAAAATTGACAAAAATTGCATAGTCAATGTACTAAATTGACACTTTTAAAAGTCAGGGACTGAAATTAACAATACCCTTAGGGGGCGTTTGGTTGGGGTTATATTAGATAACTAGAGTTATATTAGGTTGGTTATATAACATGCCTTTGTTTGGTTGAGGTTATACAATATTCCCTTGGAATCCAATATCACCTCCACATCAGATTTTTTTCTTTTTATGAGGGAATGTGATTCCCTTGTCAATCTTAGGTTATCTTGGATTCCCTTGGCCATTTTACATTGTTTGCCCTTTGTATCATCCTCCAACATTTTCTTGTTTGTAAGGTGATTTGCAATAGGAGGGTATTAAGGTAAAATAACCATTATAACATAATCAATAATTCATCAACCAAACAGGTTTATATTACATAACCCTGTTTTTACCAAACACAGTAATCTAACATTCCCGGCAATCTAACATTCCCTAAGGTAATCTGACATTCCGTGAACCAAACGACCTAGTCATATGACCAAAATTGAAATTTCCTCAATTTTGTGTATTATGTCAAGTGTTTATGTGTCATCAACTATATAATACACATAATTCATGTTCATAATACACAGAATTCATGTTCATTATATCGTGTCTATTTATATGTGTATTATGAACATGAATTCTGTGTATTGGACCAGGGTACTGTGAACCCAAGTCCACGATATAATGCTTGGTCTAATCGGGGATACCGGAGTAAGTTACTACTATTTGTCATTCACATACATATTTTATATGAGTTAATTTCATTTTTAGTCCTAGATTTATATGTGACAGTCCACTTTAGTCATTTTTTATTATAACATTCACTTTTGGTCATAGTATTATTGTGGCAGATCATTTTTGGTCATCTATCAACAAAACAGTTTAAATGTCGTTAAATACAAAGGCATTTCAGTCTTCAATTATGGATTTTTTTTAAAAATAAACATAAAAAATATAGTGGGTCAACCTACTTTGTATAAAAAAAAATCTAAATGTCGTTGATTGATGACAAAAAATGGTCATGTCACAATAATATTAGGACCAAATAAGGATGTTACGATAAAAATGGACTAAAAGTAGACTGTCACGTATAAATTTAGGACCAAAAATGAAATTAAATTTAGTTTGTATTTCTTTGATTTGATTTAAGAGGAAGTTTGTAATCGCGAAGGTCAACAAACAGCTTTTATAGAGAGTTGAACTTAAAATCCTGTAATTAGATTATTAAGTCAATTGTCTAATCAATCAATTTGGTACTAATAAGAGCGCAAGAGAGTTAGGCCTATAATGGGTAGAAAAAATGGCGGTAACAGATTTTAATCAAATGAATGACTCAGATTGATCAGATTTTAATTTTTCCTTAAGATTTCCTAATTTATCCTTAATGAATATGATTATCCGTTAACTTTTCCGTTAAATATTATCTTTTCCGTTAATTTCGGTTAGTTCACTGTTAATTTACTCATCGATTTCAATAAGAAATGTCTTAGGTTCGAACCTCATCCCAATCAAAGTTGGCATAATTAGTATTCTATTTTACTCTTATTAAGTTAAATTAAATAATAATTTAGTAGCTACAACAACAAATAATACATATGCATTTCTTTAATTTAGAATTATGTGTCTACAATGTCTTTATTCAAAAAAAATTATTCATAATCAATAAATTAAATAAGAGAAATAATTTAATTAGTTATAGTGCCTTTATTTTTCTCAAATATAAAATTTATATTCAAATTCATCAATTGATTATATTCGCTACATTGTCCCTACAATATCCTTATTTAAAAAAAATATTCATTATCAATAAATTAATTAAGAGAAATAATTTTATTAGTTATATTGTCTTTATTTTTCTCCAATCTAAAAATTTTTACATTCAAATTCATCAATTGATCATATTCACTACATTGTCTATTATCTTTTTTGTGCACTATTTTTTAATTAAATATCAAAGTTATAATATAAAATAATGTTATATATTTATTTACCAAGTATTTTATTAATACCATGAAAAAATTATGGATCTGCCTAATGTATTTCATCTGCCTAATGTATAATTCTTCGTATTTCTTCTTTGTATGCGCGACTTTGGACATCAGATTCACTTAATTGCTTAATCTCTAAATTCACTCGAAGAACAAAATTCCATTAGGGATTAAGCAATTAAGTGAATCTGATGTCTGAAGTCACGTATACAAGAAAAAAATACGAAGAATTATACATTAGGCAAATGAAATGACTACTTTACCCTTTTATTTAAAGTCCAATTTATCGTAATCTAACGAAAGGACCTCAATTGGAAAGAAATTGAAAGTCAAGGGACGTAAAGTGTCCAAATTAAAAGTCGGGGACTAATTTTGAAAAATCAATATAGTCGGAGGACCATTACTGGAATTATCTCATTTGAAATTACCATTTTTTGAGGAATTGACACATATTTTGGCTATAGTTAGAGAGTAAGTATTGGTCTCATTTTTTACTACTATCATACTATATGATTTAGAACAAATTGCAATTTTGGTCCTGTGACTATTAGCGTGTTGATAATTTGAGTACGTGACTTTCAAAATTCTCAATTTAGTCCTTTAACTATGCAATTGTTAGCAGATTTGGTCTTGTCGGTCAAATTGCGATCCAATTTTTACCGAAAAATGTAATTAGGTTTGAATTATTTTTTTGCGAGGGTAAAATGGTCTTTGCATTTTTGCTTTTCTTCTTCGCCATTTTCCTTAGAAATCCCTTATAGAATTCCTCCGGCATTTTCAAGTTGGCGTTCTTGTTCCCATCCGTTGGCCACCCGATCTCCCCCCACGATCATTTTCACGTCCTCACATTTTGCTTTCCTCAACGACCATATTAGCGTATCCAA